GGATTGCCTACCTGCACGGCTCCATGCTGCTGGCGTGAGGGAGGAGAGCCCCTAGCGAGTAGGCAACCCGCCCGCACGCCTGCGTGCATCACAGTAGGATTGCCTACCTGCACGGGGTTCTGGGGTCTGCCCCTCGTAGCCTCAGAGCAATAAAAGCCAAAGTCGACAGGCAAGAGGCCCATAAGAGCAAAGCACTTGCTGCATGCGCAACAAAAATAAAGTGGAGGCGTAAATCGCAAACCTAAACACACTTTGTTCGAGCCTCCCCGGCTGCTGCACCCTTGCAGCCTGTCTGAGGCGCCGCGGCGCCCCTGCTGCACCAGGCCGTCGTGCCGCGACGAACCGAACCAGACCAGGCCAGGCCATGCTCGGGCATTTGGCCCCATCAAAGATGAGTTATGCCAATGGCTGCAGGCGGGCCCGGCCCAGGGCTGGCGGCAGCGGCCGTAAGAGTGTAGCCGCGGGACACGCCCCCCCCCTCCCCCTAACCTATGCCCGCCCCGCTGCGTCCCTGACGACCCCACCTTGCGGGTCCACGACCGCGCATACGAGGAAAGGCGTTTCCGAAGGACATTAAATATAGCAGCCGCCACACACAACAGGAAGAATTTTCAGGGACAAAATTAGCCATCGCTCGGGCCGGGCCACGCTCGCTGGCAGTGCTCGGGCGGAGGCGCAGGCGGGCCGCGGGAGGGGAGGGGGGAGGGAGGTCACCAACCCATCCACACCGCTGGCGGGCTGAAGAGAAGCCGCCGTGCAGCTGGGGCGGGCGCGCAGACGCCCTGGACGCTTCGGAGAGTCGTAGTCATAGGCGAGCACGGGGACGGGACACGAGGAGACTGCTCGTCGCTCAAGAAGAGCCCGCCCGATTTGTCACGCTCAAAGGGAAAAGAAGTGGACTAGGGATGAACCTCTCGGAAGGAAAAACAGGATGCAAAGCTTATTCCAGTCGGAGCGGACGAGCCAGAGGCCGGCGGACGGGGGAGACGGGTGGGCCCGGCGGCACGGCGTTGTGCGTCGTGGCATTCCAAAGCGACCGAGCCCAGCCCGCCGCCGCACCGGCCACGGGGCCCCAAAGGGCTACCGGGCCCGACCGGGCCGGGCCGGGCTGGGACCCACGAGACGGGCAGGACCACGGGGCAACAACAACAGGCTAATCGTGAACTAGGGCGAGCGGCGCGGCGCGGTGGGCGCGGCGGGCGGGGCGGGGTGATAGTGGCGCCGACAGAACACGGATATCAACAGCCGCGCCGCGTCGCGCGCCCACACACAGCGCATACAATGTTACCGTCACTAATTGGCACCTGGTGTATATGACCACCAGGGGCGGTAAGTGAAGCGCCGACCATCCGTATACGAGGCGGGGCGGG